GACAGTGCGTGTTACCTTTTTGTTTCCATACATTATTCTGATCCAAAAACATAAATGATTTAATAACAAATGCAGACTAACAAAAGCTATCTTCGATTTGATTATATTTCCCGTTACATCTGCTTTTGACTCTAACAAGAGTTCATTGCTTTCTTGTTTAATGCTTGTTTTGTTCACTTTGAGAAAGATCCCACAATTGCATGACAAGCGCTAACCGTGATCAAGAAGAAGATAATGAATTCAGTCCTGATGATGAACTCATATTTCGAAAACTTTCGACATTTTATAAATAATTGTGTGCCTTTCTATTATGATAAGATAAGGAAACAGACTGGATTAGTGATGTCCGCAAAGTCTAGTATATGAATTTACTATAGATACCTCTTTATGAAAATGCCTCTCAAATTCTTTGTACTCAGTGGATGATCTGTTCTTTAGTTGTTCTGTGTATATCCAGTTTCGAATTTTTATTTCAAATTCCAGTGACAAGGAAACTGCAGTTGAAATAACGAAAAAATATTCCGCTGTTAATAACTATCCAGATAATAAAAGCATTAGACAGGGTTAATAGGCGATTACGTGGGGCACTGATTCCAAGCACTTATAAGGAGGTAACCATATTTGCTCTATTTCATGAGTTCCTGAAAATGAATTTCCACGTACGCCTGTCAGATTCAATTAGGAAACAGCAATAGTCTTTATAATATTAATCATTCTTACTTTCAACCCAGATATTTATCGTGTAGGTAGCTCTAACCAATRCACTACCAGCATCTATAACCCTGAAGATGTATTTTCCAGCATGGTGTTTTGACAAKTTTTCGATCTTTAGKGTCCCTGATCCTTGAAATGAGGAATTGCTCTCCTTTTGCCACTTTGTAGTTGCCTTTGGCAAATCACCTCCTTTGAACTCGATTTCGCCCCATATGGTGTCTCCTTCTTTTGCCTCTATAGTTTTCACTTTACTGACATCATATGTGACTAAGAATATATAATGCACAAGCGAATATGTCAATGTATACAGTTCATCATTTTGTCCCATAAATTGACAGAAATATAAGTGAGATCTCAAAACCASCAGCGAAATAGAAAATGCCTTTATGATACACATAGGCACTCAGTGACTGCAGAATACAAGCAAAAAGAACAATTGAGTTTAAATGGAACTTTTTTTATTTATTTTTAGTACCAGGCCAGATTTTACATTGTCTACCAGCAATCTCTGCTGATAGCGTGACATGTAAAGTAATTTCTCAAGTAAAAGTCGTTTCCACACAACGACATTAGAGAGAAAGATATGTGAACAATATGTCGACGTTTCAAAGATGGTTGGAAGTYTAATCGATTATTTGCCGTGGCTTCAAATGAGGGGGAGTTGGAATCGATATTGCGCCGTCTTCGAAGCGACAGAACGCGCAATCGATGTAATATCGACGTCATTTGAAACACAAAATAAAAGCAAAAATCGAAAATCCTCCGTCATTTTTGAAACCGGATAATTCGGAGAGCAAGACGTAATGCCTATTAATTAATGTATTTTTCAGAATAAGCATTTAGACTTACCTTTGAATCATACTTACCATATCGGCCTATGTATACTCACATAACATTAAGGTAACTTCAAGAGAATGTCAATACTTCATAGCATTCTTTTAATCGTCACTCATCCAGCATCAATAAAAGACTTTGGGTATATGAACTACAAAAAAATATTGATAAAATGGAGATTCACTGTCAAATCATCTGACGAAAGTGACCAAATTTGTTGAGCGTCTTGATCGTTGTACGCTTGTAGTCTTGGATATCATATATGTATCTATCACACACAAAGAGTGCAGAATGCCTAGGATCATTGCTTCAGTAATAATGTAAAATTAACAATAAGATGCAAAAGAGCAGGTCTTCATGATCACTTCTCTGGCGAAGTCAACACAAGATAAAATGAGTCTCCAAAGTATTTTTGGTAAGTGATTTAGCCTTAGACAACGCATTCATCATGAATCTAAACACAAAATGTAAACACGCTTTGGGATACGATGGTCGACAAACTTACACATTTTAATAACTTGTTGTCTAGCGTCATTCATGTCTTCCGCTTTGATCATCACAATCCTGCTGGGTTCCTTAACCCAATTCTTTCAACTAAGTAGATCACAAATACATTTGATGAACATACTTATTATGCTGAAATTACGCTCCGATGATCATGTGACGCACAATGATTCTAAAATTAATGATCTTTACGTGTTCTTACAATATTCATTACAACAAAATAATATTTTTTTGGAACATTCAGTTGTAGAATATTAAAATAAAAAAGTATAACTTTCTGCTACAGCAAGTTTCTTTTGAAAATGGAACAAGATAATCATTCAAAATATCAAAATATCATAATGGCAGTGTCCACGATTCAGTAAGCTTCTGAGTGGGGGAATATTAAATGATGGAGGCTAAAATTTTAATCACGAACGAACTGAATAATGTCAGCAATAAAGGAAAGTGACGCCTTGTCTTATTAGCTCTGAAATAGAGCACGCGTAATAGGCCAAAGACAATTAAGCAGTTGAAGTAGATCTTGGACTTATTTGGCGATTAACAAAAAATAAGAATAAAAGAGAATTAGTCAAAGGTATTGTCTTTGTAGTCTCAATGTGCATATTTAGAGCGTAATTTTAACTTACTGTTTTTTCAGCACTATAGCTTACCCTTATTTCCACTGCAAGTTCTATGGATGATTTTAATAAAC